CGCTACTAGGAGCAAGGACGCTAGTAGGTGCTCCTGGCATCGCTACTAGGAGCAAGGGCTCCTGGCCTTACTACTAGGAACAAGAACGCTGCGCGATGAATTCCGTGAGGCCTTTGAAGCTCAGGTGCCCGCGGCCAAAGATCGCCCCGGGCAATTGCTGACAGAGCCCCAACGCTTCGTGGAGGCTCAGAGATGACGGTCAGAGGGAGACGGTGGGTTCGGTTGATGAGGCAGGGACACTTCCCTACAAAGTGAGTGACTGGCAACAAGAACTCGCTCAGGAGACCAAGAACTCTTCAAATTCTTTGGGGGAGGCTGCAGAGCACTTGGCAGATCTTTGGGCTACCCGGGCTGACATTCTGATGAATCTGGGTGGTTTGAAACGCGCCTCCACCGTGCCTCGTCTCAAGACGTTTTTCAGCCTTCGACTATTTCACACTTTCCACTTCTATATTAGAACGAACAGCTGAATTCAACAGCCGAACAGATTCATATTCCACCGGCAATGGAACAATACTGCAGAATGGCTACCGCAAACGAGCATCCCACGTTATTTGACTTGCCAATGGCACATTCTGAGGAGCTGGCTGCAGCACTGGAATTGGCTCCCGAGGTTTGGGTTGTGACACGTTTGAGGAAGCTGTACCTTTCAGCACTTTTGGCGCGGTTCCCAGCCCTATGGAAGGGCTTTCAATCAGTCCCACACAGCCGGAGGCCAAGCGCGTGAAAGAATTGCAAGCTGAGTGCAAGAAGTTAGAGAAATACCAGGACCCACCCTGAGCGCGCACCATCCCTTCATGGATTCGCAGTCTAGCACAACAGCTTGGGGTGTGTCCTTAAGAAATATTTGACCAGTCATTTTGAGCATCGGCCATCAGGAATCAGAGCACGCGATTCATAGATGTGTTCTCTGACGAGACATACATGTGTAGATGCAAAGGACAACTCGCAGGTTCACTTGCCTGCAAGCAACACCATAGCCTCAAACACACAGCTGATTTTTAACTGGCAACAACTGCAACAGTATAACTATAGCATACTACTGAACTACATATATAAGCTACCATAGGTTTAACTGCAGCAGTTTCAGACGCTCAGCAGGGGGTGTTGTTCCATGTTGTTCCGCAGCAAGGAGGAGGGGATTGCAGAAGATGCCTTGGCTGCCTCGCAGAGCAAGGTGGGTATATCCTGTGCACATTGAAGTTGTCTTGTGCTATGTTTGGGCCTCGGAGGTGCCAGCGCACATTTTAACTGGTTTCTTGGGCTCGGGCAAGACGACCCTGCTGAATCACATTTTGCGAGACACTGGGGATGCAGGGCGGTGAAGAACGGCGGAAGTCGCTGTGTTGACTTGTAGGTTTGCCCTTCAGCCTGGAGTTGATTGAGAGGTTTTGTGCATGGGATAATGTCCATTAATTTCCAGTCCACGCAAGAACTGCATGGTCTCCCACACGACTCAGGAAACGCACGGAAAGCGCTTTGCCGTGATCGAGAATGAGTTTGGCGAGATAGGAATCGATGACAAGTTGATTGCGCGGCGAGAGGACCTCGGTGCCGAACAAATCATCGAGATGAACAATGGATGCATTTGCTGCACTGCGCCTTGATATGGAAAAGCACCGGTGGCTCTCTGGATATGGACCCCAAACACTCAGAAGGATCCAATTCTTTGGGATGCTTGTGGGATACAGCCCAGCCTCCTCCTACCTTGTAACCTTGTACTCACTGAAGGATTTGTGTCACTCTAATCAGAAAGCACGGTAGCGGCTCAGAGCTTTCTTCGACGAAGAAATGGTGGAACCATGCTCCAGAACCAATTGCTTTTTCGCCCCTGCCTGACGTTCAAGCACAGTGCGTTCATCCTTACAACGGTTGTGCGCAGCTTCCTTTAATTTGCGGAACTTGCCTGGCCCGAGGTTATTTGAACCTGATGTGCGAGGTGTGTGGTGTGGTGTGAGGCTGAGTGTGTGATGTGGCATGAGGCCTACCAGAAACCCATACTGTAAGGCACCTTGCTACTAGTGGCTTCTTGTTCCTAGTAACATATCCCGTCCGAATGTGCAAACATTCGTGCTTTTGGGATCTCCCTAGAGAGGTCAACCGATGATGTCGCGTACTCGCAAGGTGAGAGGGGACCTGATCCAGGGCCTTCGGAGCATTTTGAAGAAGACCGCTTTGGATGGCAATAAGCTGGATGGTGTCATCATTGAGACAACGGGCTTAGCAGATCCGGCGCCCGTGGCTCAAACCTTCTTTGCGGATGACCTGATCCAAGCAAGGATGACTTTGGTGTCTGAGCTGAAGATTGCAGAATATTAATCTTGTTTTTTTGGGCACTGAATATCGTTTAGAGCAGATGGTGAAGGTAGAGAGGCTTTAACGGGCAATCTGTTTTTTTGTTTAATCCTCGCAGTTGCGACGTGCGCCGCGACTTGCCAGGATGGCATCATCACTGTAGTCGATGCGAAGCATTGTTTGCAGCATTTGCGGGAGGAGAAGCCAGAGGGCGTGGAGAATGAGGCTCCTTTTGCTATTGGGAAGGAGGCCACGCTATTAGGTTGGAGGCTGGAGGCCATCGCTATTAGGTTGGAGTTTCCTGGTTTCTGTGTTTTCTTGAGGCTGTTGAGCAGCTTGCTTTTGCCGACCGGATCATTGTCAACAAGACAGACCTGGTGCGCTGATGTGCGCTAGGGGTTCGGGAGGGAAAAGGAACCTAATAGAAATGGCCTCCAAGCTAGAAGCGATGGCCTCCACCCTACTAGCGATGGCCTCCACCCTACTAGTGATGGCCTCCATCCTAA